TCTCCTGCTCTTCCGCTCCCTCCCTCCGTGATGGCACAGGTTCGAGGCAGTGAGGTGATTCTAGGGGCGGATTCCCACATCAGTGTGTATGAGCAGGGTGGTGTGGCAACACTGGGCAGCGTGCATCCGCGCACGGTGGTGAACAAGGCAGACGGCACCATGGACCTCAAGAAGGTGGAGCTGGCTATCAGGAAAGACGATGAGCATTACCCGGTTACCAGATGCATCTGCCTCGAGAACACCCACAACAGGTGATTTTTCTTTATATTCGAGTTCATTTCATTTGTATCAATAGCAGAGTCATTCATGCCAATGTCAATGGAATCGTCACTCATAACACTCTCAGTGTTATTCATATCAGTTTCAATGTCACTAATACCAGTGACAATGACACTCATATCAGTGTTTATGTCACTCATATTAGTTTCCATGAGAATCATATGAGTCTCAATGCCACGTGACGTGACTGTGTGGTGCAAGGCAACCATCATGGCACCATTCGTGAACGGCAGCGGTTCCTGGTATGTGGCTGCCGAGAACGCATGAGCTTTCTCCAGGACTGCTTTTGAGTCGATCCTGATCTCGACGGATGGCATCGAAGTTACTGAAGGCCTAACCCGTGAACAGCCCCTGTGGACGTATCAGGTGCATGATGTTCGTGCCTGCCGCGTTCTTTGAAAGAGTTGAGACTGATATGAGTCTCAATCACAAACATCAAGCACCAGGTACGTCCATAGTGGGGTGTTCACGGCTTAGGTCTTTAGTGTCTTCGATGTCATTCGTCGAGATCAGCATGGTTTTTATCCTAGAGAAATCGCATGCCTTCTCGGCAGCCACATATCAGGGACCGCTGCCGTTCACAGATTGTGTCATGATGGCTGCCTTGCACCATGCAGTCACATTGTGTAGGTACTCGAAGACAAGTCCGATGCTGTGCTCTGCGCTGTGTTCCAGGTCCTTGCCGTCATTGACTATGCGGTGCTCAACCTCGCAACGCAACACACATGAGACACATAATACATTAATATCAAGATGGCATGTCACACCACCGTGCAAAACAGGAAGGGTAGAATGGACTTGAAATCCGCAGCAGCGAGCGACCCAATCACCCCAGAAGGAAACATGCGTTGTGGTGGAGCTTGCTTGACCATAGCAGGCTTGGCCTAGTATTTGAAGAGAGACGCGTGGAGGCTGGCCCCAAAGGTGGGGTGAGAGAATGGAAGGCCTTCGGCCTGAGGCTCACGATGCCACGTGGCAGCTCTCACCAAGTTTCACTGCCTGAGGCTCACGATGCCTCTGATCCAACCTCCACTGCCTACAGCCTCTGTTCTTCCATGTACCCTCGGCTCTCAGGTGCGGTGGGCGCGCCATAACAGTGGACTATACAGAGCGACTGGCGGAGCTGGCGTCGTGGTACGAGCTCAAGTGTGTACTTTCCAACCCTCACTGCCTGTACTCTCTGTACTTCCCTGTGCGCTCCGCCTGCAGGTGCGGTGGGCGCGCCATTACTGTGGACTATACAGAGCGGCTGGCGGAGCTGGCGTCGTGGTACGGGCTCAATTGAGTTGTTTCCATTCCAATCCTCACTGCCTATATTCTCTCTTCCCTGTACTCTGCCTTCAGATGCGGTGGGCGGGCCATTACTGTGGACTATACAGAGCGGCTGGCAGAGCTGGCGTCGTGGTACGAGCTCAAGTGTGTACTTTCCAACCCTCACTGCCTGTACTCTCTGTACTTCCCTGTGCGTTCTCCCTTTCAGGTGCGGTGGGCGCGCCATAACTGTGGACTATACAGAGCGGCTGGCAGAGCTGGCGTCGTGGTACGGGCTCAAGTGTGTACTTTCCAACCCTCACTGCCTATACTCTCTGTACTTCCCTGTGCGTTCTCCCTTTCAGGTGCGGAGGGCGTGCCATAACTGTGGACTATACAGAGCGGCTGGCGGAGCTGGCGTCGTGGTACGGGCTCAAGTTTCACATCGACGGAGCGAGAATATTCAACGCCGCTGTGGTGAGTTATGCAGGGGAGGATCAGGACCCGTGTGTGTGCCCATGGCATTACATGTTGCTTCCTGCACCAGCACCGAGGATTACACAGGGCGGTTGGTGGAGCTGGCATTGTGGTACGGGCTCAAGTTTCACATTGACGGAGCGAGAATATTCAACGCCGCTGTTGTGAGTTATTCAGTAGAATAGGAGCCATACATACGTCATTATACATTCGTAGCCGTATACTTAATCAATGCATTCTAGCCTTCCCGCGCTACCTATTAATTCTCCGTGTGTGCGGCTGGCTCGTGCGAGGCTCTCTGTCTGCCCATGGATGGATAGCCTCGTACGGCTATATTGAAATCATTTTTTAGAATTCTCAAAACTGTCTGCCCATGGATGGATAGCCTCGTACGGCTATATTGAAATCACTTTTGAGAATTCTCGAAACTGTCTGCCTCGTCCGGACGGCACACAATGGTTGCATTTTGTTCCTGCCTATGCGTCTTCTATGTATGTATGCCCTGTTCTCTGCCTTCCGCTGTTGATTATTTCCACGCCGAGAATCGCCTGCTTTGCCTTGCCCCATATCCATCCAGTGGTGCCCTTCATTCATTCCTCCCCATCCTCTCATGCTCTCATGCTCTCTCTTGTGCTCCATCCGCTCTTATCTGCCTCTGCGTGCTCGCTGCCTGCCGCTGTCGATTCTATCCAGGCCCTCAGAGTGCCTGTGGATCGCCTAGTCCGCCCTGCGCACAGTGTTTCTGTGAGTGTGGGGGGGGAGGAAGGGGGAGAAGGGGGGGTGGGGGGGTGGGGGTGCGGTGCTCTGTGAGAAACAACGATCACAGGAATGAATGAGTTAACAAGGAACATGCGTTTTGCTTTATTTGTTCTCTCCTCGTGCACTCCGTGTCTTTGAGCTGCTCTGCCCTGCCCTGCCCTGTCCTGTGCTGAGGGATGATTGTGCATCCCTGACCACTGGACTGCAACGACCACGTAGACATGTCAGACGTGTCTTTGAGCTGCCCTGCCCTGTGCTGAGCTGAGCACTCTCTTTGGCTCGGCTTGAAACGGGTTGTTTGTGAGAACTGAGCTTAGAATCAATACATAAGTAATGAGCTCGAAGCTCCTTAAGTACATCCGAATGGAGCAAGGTATGGATGAGAAGGGAATCGGGGCCAATCCCTAGGGATTGAGGGTAATCCCAAGGCAATCCCCAATTGGTGGGTTGAAGATTGCTTGGAGATCACATTTGGGTTTGGTTGGGATGTGGGTGTACACCCAACCGAACACAAAGTGCAAACTACACTAAACTAGGATATAAAAAGTACAAGTACAAAACGTGAGATTGAGGGCTAACACTAACATTAGCTTGGCACACTTGTTATAGCATGTACATACATGTGGCAACTCGCCTTGCCTACTGTTGACGTGGCAAATCAGCTTGCCTGTTTCTGACGATGTGTGGCAACTTGCCTCCCTGTTTGCCTGGCAGGTGTGCCTATCGAAAGGACTCGGAGCACCGGCAGGCAGTGTGATTGTGGGCTCTGTGGAGTTCATCGCCAAGGTATGGTGTTTTGTTTCCAGGTAGGGCAATCACACACCTCTCTCGTTAGCGCCAGCAGCGCCAGCAGGCAGGCAGGCAGTGTGATTGTGTGTGGGCTCTGTGGAGTTTCACTGCCAAGGTGCGGTTTGCATTGCTCTGTATTGCTGCGCACTGCCTTGTTGTGGTGATGACTTGGAGTGGTTTTGCAATCGAATCTCTCTTCTTAGCGCCAGCAGCAGGCAGTGTGTTTTGCGGGCTCCGTCCGTTGCATTGCATTGCATTGCATTGCGTTGAGTTCATAGCCAAGGTGCGGCCTTTGCATCGCTGTTCTCTGTTCTCTCTGCTCCGTTCTTCTCGGTGCTCTGCTCAGCTCTGCATTGTGTTGTGGTGCGGTGTTATGCTATCCTGAAACGCCTCTGTAATGATCCTCTTATCCTGTAGTGTACAAGTGCTACCCTGTGATTCCCTTCATACAAGCAAAGCAGCTAGCAAAATCCCGCCCCTTGACCCACACTCATTTGAACCCCACCCTTTTAACCCCCAATCCTTGACTCCCACTCCTTGTCCCCCCACTATCCTCCCCCTGAAAGCTCGTCGCTTATGGAAAGCACTGGGCGGCAGCATGCAGCAGGTGGGCGTGCTGGCAGGCAGGCAGCACTGCTGCCCTCCTATTCACCCCCACCCATTCCCTCCCTTTTTCCCTGCGCCTGAAGGCCCGTCGCCTACGGAAAGCACTGGGTGGCAGCATGAGGCAAGTGGGCGTGCTGGCAGGCAGGCAGCACTGCTGCCCTCCTATTCACCCCCACCCATTGACCTCTTTCCCCCATCCCCTGAAGGCTCGTCGCTTACGGAAAGCACTGGGCGGCAGCATGCGGCAGGTGGGCGTGCTGGCAGCGGCGGGGCTGGTGGCGCTTCAGGAGTCGGTGCCTCGGCTCATCAGGGACCACCAACGCGCCATGCAGCTCGCAGGTATGCTGCGGTGCTGTGCTGTGCAGGTTACAGGTGTGGTGTTGTGGGGTGTGCACTTATTTGTGATGTTCCTGTGTGTGTGGGAGTGAAGTGTTTGCCAGTGCTGGCAGCAGCATTAGCGGGTCGGGTGGCCCTTCAGGAGTCGGTTCCTCGGCTTATCCGAGAGCACTAACGAGCCATGCAGCTCGCAGGTACACGCAGGTACAACGGTGTGCTGCTCTGGTGTGCACGTAAGTGCAACGTCAGGTGGGGTGGGCGTGCTGGCAGCAGCGGGGCTGGTGGCGCTTCAGGAGTCGGTGCCTCGGCTCATCCGAGACCACCAACACGCCATGCAGTTTGCATTATCCGTGTCCCTGCCTGTTGGGCTCCGCTTCCTCCCTCCCACTCCTCTCCGCTTATTCCTCCCTCCACTATGCTGCCTCTGCAGAGGGGTTGGAGACAGTGGATGGGCTGGCTGTGCATGTTTGAGTCACCTCAAGCAAGGCGCCTCAAGCACGTGAAATTTAATTGGTTTTGAGACATCTCAAAACCATTGGATGGGCTGGCTGTGGATGTTTGAGACGCCTCAAGCAAGAAAAAAAAAGAAAAGAAAAGAAAAAAAAAAAACAATCCTCCTCCCTCTCAATTGTTTCTGCCTGTGCAGAGGGGTTGGATACATTGGATGGGCTGGCTGTGGATGTGAGCACGGTGGACAGCAACATTGTGAGTACAGCGGTGGTGATGATATGGATACAGAGGAATTCAACAGTTTCAAAGTGGGTGTAAAGAGGCGCCCTCAGAAGGATACATTGGATGGGCTGGCATTGGATGTGAGCACAGTGGACAGCAACATTGTGAGTACACTGGCCGGTCATCAAAGCGGCAATGCAGAGGATTCAATGACACCCAGATTGCCACCACAAGGGGAAGGAAGAGGAAGTAAACAAAGCAAAGCAACATATGCCAGGTGCTCTTGATATGTGTTGCATTCAGGTGCCAAAAACAAAGGATGTGACGATGGGTGATTGGCCCATCTGTGATTGGCCCATCGGAGCCAAGGAGCTGTGCGCACATGATTTTCTTCGTAGCATGCGTAGAGCCTGATACGTGTTGAATTCGAACTAACATGCCCTTGATCTGTGCTTAATTCAGGTGACAATGGATGTGAAGGCCGATTGCCCTATAGGAGCTGAGGAGCTCTGCAATGCTCTGCGGCAGGCTGGCGTTCTCACCACGCTGCGCAGCAACAACAAGTGAGTGTGGTCCAAAGCATCTGGAATAATGAAATGGTCCGCATGCTCTGCGGTGCTCTGCGGCAGGCTGGCGTTCTCACCACTCTGCGCAGCAACAAGTGAGTGTGGTCGGCTGAAGCACCTTGAATAATGCAAAAGCTCTGCAATGCTCTACAGCAGGCTGGCATTCTTACCACCCTGCGCAGCAAGCAACAACCAGTGAGCTTGTTTGAATGAGTTGCAGTGTGAATACTGTGCAGCGCAATGATGATTTGCAGTGCAGCAGTGTGGTATTTCGCACCACCCACCCAAGAAATTGTACTGAAAAGGCTGTGGAGTCTTCGCATTTCAGCTTACATGTGGGATGCTTTTGACTAAGGTAGCTACCGACTTTGCTTCTGCGTTGATCTGTAGTTTGTGTATGATATTCTTATTCCACTGGGTGACTTTTGAGTCGACTCAAAAGTCGCCCCGACTTGGCGTCTGCGTTGATCTGTAGTTTGTGTATGATATTCTTATTCTACTAACTTGCTTGCTTTTCTATTCATCCCCTCTTATCGTCCCCTTCCAGGATCCGAATGGTCACACATTACCACATCACAGCAGAAGACATACGATACACTCTCGCATGCACACAGGTACATTGTTGAATTTGATTCAGAGTATTTATAGTCCGCTAGGTTCCAGTTGCTTTGTCCATCACTTGCATTGTATTCGTTTTTTCTGCTCTAACATTGCTCTATTGTGGGTTCTGTGGTTTCCTCCTTTTTTGGGGTTGAAAACGTGCAGCAAATTTTGCTCAAGTCATCCCTTGAGGAGGAAGACTCTACGTACATATGACCTTCGGAGAGGCAAAATCATGAAGCTTATGCAGGAACAGGAATTGCAGGACTAGGTACGGTACCGGTGTTATACAGATCGACTTTTGTAAACAAGTCTGGCTGTAGTCAAGGTTTCAGATTTTGAAAGAGCTTGCTGCGGGCACGTTCAGATCTGCCTGAGTTGAGGAATTGTGCAAGGCCATTTCAAAAGGGTTGGGAGTCGTGACTAAATCCGATGAAATACGGTAGAAGAGATCCAAGTTAATTTGATGCAGTATAATCAAGCTCCATGAGTGACACAGAAAGCATATGCACGCTGCGGCCCACCTCCAGTGGCATAGGGAAGAAATGCCGTCGCATAGCCTCTACCAAAGAAAATGCAACCACGGTCAATAGCTATCCCACCATAAACAGAAGCACCAGGTGTGAACGACCATAGGTTCTGTCCCGACGCAGCATCAAACGCGTACACATGCCCTTGCGCGTCCATTGAACCTGCGAACACCACCCCATTGGCTGCTGAAGGCAGCATGGCAAGTGCTGGGGCAATCGGGTTGGCCGTTGACCACAGCGCAGCCCCCGTTGCAGGATCGAGCGCAACCCATGCACTCCCATTTGTGACTGTAGCGGAAGGTAAAAGAGTGAAATTATTGAATCCGTCGTTCTCAATTCCCACGTAAATCCGTTCCAGGTCCGTCGCAATTCCCCACGAAACGCCTCCGAGAAGTCCTCCTGGGCCAGGAGCTGTGGACCACACGATCGATCCGTCGTCACGATCAAGGGCCCACACAAGCCCAGATTTCTGGCCCGCCACTGCAATGTCGCGTTTCGCTTTCTTCCGACCATTTCCTTTCGAGATGTTGCTGTCAATCGACATTAGCAAAGGAGCCATTCCGAAGTCGTAGTCTTCGCCTGGACTCGGCGGGCAGTTAGGTGAAGGGGTTCCCGTGATGCACGCTAGGTTCCACGCGTCGATTGGGCTCAGGTTTGTCGCCCACTGAATAGACCCACTCAAGAGGTCAATAGCGAGGATAGAATCGAAGTGATTTCCGGGCTCAATGCATTTGTCGGGAAGTGTCGCGCCGTTTTCTTCCTGCTCCTGCTGGCACTGCGAAACGTAATCAGGAACTCGGTAGTTGTTACCGGTCGCGACGAAGACCAGCTCCCTCGCCTCGTCGATTGATGGGTTCGCGCCCCACACGGCCGCGCCGGCGTACAGGCTGGCGTTTCCGCCGTTGGGCGGCAGAGTGAAAGTCTGCCACACTTTTGCGCCGCTTACGATATTCAGCTTCACGACGCTTCCAATGAAGGTGCAACAGGGGTAGGTCGGATTTGACGTGAACAGCTCCTCCACAGATGAAACGCCAACGTACAGACCGTTTCGGTACGCCGTGCCCGACCCCGTTACAACTGCCGCGGGATGCGGATCAACGAGCGTTTTCCAGACCAGGCCGCCGTCGCTACGTCGCACCGCCAACACGTACGCCGGCCCGTACACGCTGATGATCAGGAGGTTCCTGAGAAACCCGCTGGAGTCAACAACAACAGGAGTGGCACGAGAGTACGGATCGCGACCCTGGAAATTGTCCTGGTCGATTCCATAATCCGTCCGAATGCGCTTCTGCCAAACGGTAGCTCTGTGCTCCGCCTCACCGCGTACAGGCACCCTGCCGCGTCGGGAAAGTAGACGAAATCGCCGAACACAGCGGGTGTTGCGCTGACATCGCCTTGAGTGGTAAATTCCCAAGATAGTGCAAGCTGCGATGCGGTGGAGGGGGTTATCTGGTGCTCGGTCTTTGCCCACCGACGGTTCAGGAGGTCGCCTCCGTGAGTGACCCAAGAGCCGTGCGCGCTAGGCATAACGGAGTAGAGCAACAAAACTAGCAGGAGCAGAATCCACGAGGCGCGTTGAGAGTTAGCCATAACTTTCAAATTTCCGAGTTTGGCGAGGGAGTTGGGAGTTCAGCTCACAACTTTCTTCGAGCACCAATTCTTGAAAACGAGCTCACAAATCGTCCAACATTTGTAACTAATGTCAGCAGGTGCACTGGCGAAGATTCCACTGACACATGCGAAGGTTTCTTCCAGGTCTTCGCCACCGACCGTTGCCCAGCCGACCTCGCAGACAAATGATGCTGTTTCGCTGCTGCAAAGCAGAGAGGCTAGGTTACCGGAAGGATGCAACGCAAGCAGCCAACCGACCGTTCAGCAGGCTTGGGGGCACGACCTTTCGGCGTCGCGAGGGGCAGAGCATCGAAACAGAGAGGTTTTGGTGTTCTTCATTTGGAGGTGCAAGGTTTCAAAATCACAACCACACTCCACCCACGCTGAAGTACTTCCAACCAACCTGCCAAAGCCAGAGATTGTTGCTGAAAAGCAACTTCTAAAATGAAAAAAGCTCCCAGAGGTGGCCTTTGGACACAAATTACAGCCCCTACAATCCACTCTACACTTCTCCAAAATTTCATGTTCTGCACAGATTGATGCATGCATGTGTGAACATACACAATACATTCCAAACAACAAAATCTGATACCCACTTTACGGTAACCCCTCCATTCTCTTGTGACCTGTTCCAAATCGAGGCCGTGTCACCTGAAAGGTTCGTGAGACGCCTCAAATACGAAAACAATAGGCTAGTTGCCTTAACAGACTACTTACCCCCCCATCCGCCCCCTCCGTCCCCCCTCCCCCCCTCTCCCTCCCCCACCCCCCTCCATTCTCTCGTAGTTGGCTAAAGAAAAAGGGCCTCGGTAATCACTTCACCCCCTCCATTCTCTCGTGGTTGGTTCCTGCCCCAAATCGAGGCTGGGTCACCTGATTGGTTAGAGGCACCTTAAAGAGTAAAACAATCTGCTAGGCTCGCCTAAAGACTACTTTACCCCCTCCATTCTCTCGTGGTTGGTTCCCGCCCCAAATCGAGGTCGATTCACCTGAATGGCTAGGGGCACCGCCCTCCCTACATTTGCTCTCTCCCTCACCGTCCCCACACCCCCTCCATCGTCCACTCCCTCCCCCACTCCCACACCCCCTGGCACCTCTCCGCTGTTTGATGCCTGCATCTGCTGCTGCTGTTGCTGTTGCTGCTGCTGCTGAACCTGCTGGTGCTGCCGCTCCTTCACTCTCAATGCAGCCACCAACGGGGAGGTGTACTGCTGCTTACCCACAGGCAGCTGCGGCGGCCGCGGGCTGAACCGGGCGTTAGGAGGCGGATTCAGGGAGTTGAATTGCGCAGGGGGGAACGGTCCCACCCCGGCAGGGGAGGGAGGGCCAGCAGCGCGACGCATGGCGAGTGCACCCAGTGCACCGGGTGTGCCTAATCCCCCGCCTCCCAGTCCTCCCCCTCCTGATGTTCCTGGGCCCCCTCCTTGCCCAGGGTTTAGGAAACCCATGGGGGAGGCGGGTGGCACGCGGAGAGGGGTGATCGGGGCTGGTGACGCTGACAGCCCCGCATTGTCTGGTGTGGGG